AATTCTGGTCCACACTCCATTCCAGTAGGTGGCGGTAATGCACCTAATAGTTGTTTGCCAACCGCCATTAAAAAGAAGAAGAAGAAGATCATGATGGCGGTGGTCGGTCTCGTGCGACTGAGAGCGCTGTGCAGTTTAACTAAATGTGGCCATACAGGAGTAAAAACAKCATCAAACTGGAGAGTAGATATGCGGTGGTTTAGGACAAAACCTAAAAACTTTCAAGAACACAGCGCGTATTGTTTCGGGAATCGAGGTGAGTGAAGTGTGCCGGCTAGCTAAGGTTAGCTAACAGCGCAGTTCGCTGTGGAGTCAATCCTGAAGGACATTCATCATATAAAATAACAATAAAATATTTCAGGTTTATGTTTCCATACATCTTTTTAATATATTTCCTTTATGTAAGAGAGAAATAAACATGTTTTTTTCTTCTTCTTGCATGTGTGTGGCTGACATTTCAGAAGTGGATAAGGCTGATGACCTCCTGAAGGAGTTTCCATATCCTAAACGTTTATTGAACGACACCATTGCTCAGTCACTGGGTGTGAAGGAACTGTCCCATCTCATCCAGTACAGTTGCACGGATCAAGCTGGTGTCAAGGTCAGAGCAGTCAGCATCGTGACATGGTGTTGCATCATACAGCTCAGAAGTATTTTGATGTTTGAAATAAATTTGTTTCGTATTTCTATAGAAGTCCACTGTCACGTTGCGGTGGCCCTGCACGATTGAAGAGGAGGGTTATGCATCCAAGAAGGTTGATGCTGAGCAATTAGCTGCTGCAGCTGCTTGCTTCAGGCTCAAGGTAAGCTGCTATAACAGCAAAAAAATAATAAAAATCTTGTCCCCTCCATGTGCATTTTATTTTACATGTCTTATGTTATACTTTCATGTCTCTGTATTGTTGCAAAGGAACTGGGTGTGATTGGTCCAGACAATAAGCTGCCCAAGAGAAAGTCTGGCCAGAAGAGAGTTCCTTCACATTCCCTTAGTTATGACAAGTGGGCAGATAATGTAGTCGGGGAAGATAAATGCTCACCTCCTAAAGAAGATTCCCTCTCTCAAGCTCTTTCTGTGTTTCCACAACCCAAACATCTCCTGGCGAGTGTCGTCCAAACTGCCACGTCAACCAGTGCAATTCATGTTAGTAGATGTATATTAATTTTCCCCACTGATTGCTTCTGACCTAAACCTTTTTTAGTATTTCTACTTAGCTGCTCTGTAATGTATTACTGCAGGATATGCTGCGCTACAGAATAGTTAATACTAGGCCAAGTGAGTGTGAGCTGACTCTACTTTGGCCTGAGAAGATGACGTTTACGGCGACGGCACGCAACCGAAAAGCGGCGGAGAATACAGTTGCAGCGCTCGCTTGCATGAAACTGAAGGTGAGGAGAGCTTTGGTGAATTGACCTGCCTTCGCCTACTCCCCATAACCATGTGTTTTCCTGCTGTTGGATGCAGGAGCTTGAGCTTCTGGATGAAGACAATAAACCACTGACTCAGGCTAAGTACCATCAAGAGAAGGTAAGGGAGGCTGGATTGAGGGAGAAACGTCCGTTTCGGCTGGAAATCCCAGAAAATCTAAAGCAAAAAATGAGGGCATACCTTGAGCAGGTCAGTTTGTGTTCAGTATGTTTAGAAATGAATATCATTTATAGGCATGTTTGTTGTGAGCCAAACACTCTTTATAGTGCCTTGTGTCTATTTTGAGTAAAACATATGTTAACAAGCACATAGATAATAAYGCAACAAACTGTTTATGCTCAGTACCCAGCGGCTACAGAAGTACAGAAACTATGGGAAGAAGAAGAGGAAAGGGGACAACAGGCAGTGGACCAGGAGGAGGAGGAGGAGGAAGACTTTGTAAAGGATGCTATTACTGGCGCACCATACAGGACTCTGTCTGAACAACAGGCTAAGCTACTTAGCATCCATCTCCAAAAGGAATGGGAAAACTCGGAGCCCGGATTCAGCGTGGAGCTGCCAGTCGACGCTCACCGTCAGCGTGTCGTCTCGGCCGTGCGCTCCTCTCGGGTGGTTGTCATCGCGGGYGAGACGGGATGCGGAAAAACGACACGAATCCCACGCTTCTTGCTGGAGGAACACGTACAATGCGGGGAGGGCGCCGTGTGCAACGTCCTGGTGACCCAGCCTCGCCGAATCAGTGCTGTGTCTGTTGCTCATCGTGTCGCTCACGAGCTGGGTCCACAACTTAAACACCATTTGGGATATCAGGTAAAAACAAGTTTATGATTTACTTTATTTATTGTGATGTTATTTAAAGCAGGGGTTCTTAACCTTTTTGAGCTCAGGGCCCAATTTGTCAAACATAAAGTGGCACGAGGCCCAGTCAGACATTACCAATGTATGGATCAAATGATAATTATTCTAAATCTTGGTTTAATTTTTATTGTATTTGCATTATAACTAAACTATCATAACTAACATAACTAAATTAAATAAACTTACAGTTTAAATGTAAAACTCCTGTCAAATAATCACAAGACATGATTATGACAAACGTTTTTAATATTGTAACCTGCCCATAACAATTATTTGAACAAATAATTGGTCAGTCAACAGACCATATATATACACATACATACATACATACTATTTGAACAAATAATTGGTCAGTCAACAGACCATATATATATATATACATACATACATACATACATACATACATACTGCTCTTCATATTAGTGACAAACTAGCCTGGTTTAAACCAGACCCTGTCCTTCACTTTGCTTCGTACTAGGGTCTGGACTTGCTGCATAGAGAATTGATTTCTTGTTGGAGTTGTGACCTCTGCTGAAGCATGTGTGTGTTGTCGGTGTGAAGGAGGCTAAGCTAAGAAGCTAACCGGAAATCACGAGTGTTGTAAACAACCCTACTGAGAGGAGAAATGTACCGAGCCAAACGAGACGGCTGTAAAGGAGAGCTGCTGCTTTGTCAGACACATTTAATTTAATTTGGAAGCCTCATCAACACAGACTGGCTTCATTCACTTCCTCCACTGCCGTATGCTAAAATAACTAGCAGACACTGTGCAGAACATCGACGTCATTCAAAACTCCATCTGCTGTTTGCTGATTGGCCCAGGTAAAATAAACTACAAGCAGACACTGCGCAGAAAATTGACGTTCTCTTCTCTGATTGGCCCGGATAAAAATCTGCCAGTGAAATCCATCTCAATGGGAGAAGTCCCAGACGGAGCAGTGAAGGGAAACTAGAATTGAGCGGAGCTGCGTAGGAAGGCAAGGGCCAGGTTAGTGACAAACTTAACAGTAACAACAGCTTTTTGACAAGTTTTAAGTTTAAAATACATTCAAAATGTTTAAAAATAAACTACAAAAATTAATTTAAAGTGCAAATTAAAATATAGTTGTATCTGCAGCTGTATTTGATAATGTTTTGAACTTTTAAAATACTGCATGGTAAAAACAGAAGCTGCACTTCATATTAGTGACAAACTTTGGTATTTTTTGACGAGTTACTTTCCTTTTTGCCTTCTACTTTTCATTTAAAATTACAGAGCCCTCCAGGGGTCAGTGGTAGAAAAAAAAAAGAAAAAATACCGCCACTGGTTTTTCTACATATTAAAAAAGTTGTTAAATAACTGAGTAGCGCACTGCCGCTACTAGTGGTGAGAAAGTGTATTGCACCTCATTCAAACTCATGCGATTCCACGGCCCTCTGCGGCCCAAAGTTAAAAACTGTTATTCTTTTGAGGCCCTCAAGGTGGCCCTCGCAGCCCATGGGTTAAGAATCTCTGATTTAAAGTATTTGTAATATTTTTTCATTTTTTAAAACCATTTTTATGAACCAACATTTTAAAGCTTGAAAAGATGATTACATTTTTTTGTTTTAGTCAAAGGTCAAAGTAAATGAAAAAATGGCTTTGTAAGAAGTAAAAACTATCAGTGTTTCAATTAGTTTGACTTTGATCTGCAGAACCGTCAACACAAAATATGTTTATTTTTMGCTTTCTGAAAGCGTTCGAAGCATCCAGTCAAAATGCTGAGTTAGAAAAAGCTATAATAATATTGTTGTACTTTTTTGTTCTTTATTTTTGTGTACGGTGTATGTTCTGCACCTCAACAATAACTTCCTTGTATGTAAAAAACAAATACACATTCATCAATAAATCTGATTCTGGTTCTCTGTACTTAGGTGAGACTTGAGAGTCAATGCCCAAAGCACAGTGGAGGATCCATGCTCTTCCTCACAGTGGGTGTCCTGCTGAAGAAGCTGCAGTCGAACCCGACCCTGAAAGGAATCAGTCACGTTGTGGTGGACGAGGTCCACGAGCGAGACATAAACACAGACCTGCTGCTGGCCTTGCTGCGCTCCAGCTTAGAGAAGAACCCTGACTTAAGAGTAGTTCTCATGAGTGCTACTGGGAACAACCAGAAGCTGGCTGAGTATTTTGGAGGCTGCCCTATTGTAAAGGTGCCTGGATTTATGCACCCAGTAAAAGACAAATACCTGGAGGACATGCTGAGGGAGATGGGACGCCCATCTTTGGGTGAAAATAAAGTAGAGATGAATAGTCAGGTGAAAATTAGAACTTATACGTTTTGGCTTTTCATGTAATGAGATAATTATTTTCCTGTTTTAGTATATTTACTGTTTATTTTTTATATTGTCTTATGACTTTGTGTCTGATCTTGTAAAAGGGGGAAATTGAGGCCACGCCAGATCTTGATTTGGTCGTAGATGTTATCGAACACATTGACAGGCACGGAGAGCCAGGTATTTTAACACTCTCTCAAACAACAATGTCTAATTGTGTTTAAGAAGTTTGGCTTCAGTCGTGTTTCATTTTCACTGCACAGGTGCAGTGCTGTGTTTCCTCCCTGGATGGCAGGACATCAAAGAAGTTCAAGACAAACTTGAGAAAAAGCCGCACTTTTCCTCAGGCTCGCACATGATCCTGCCACGTAAGAAAAGGACAAACAAACTGATCAGGAATTTTCTCCAGTGGCTTTATAACAGTCTTTGTTTGAATTCTAGTGCACTCCAGCTTATCGGTCGCTGACCAACAGACCGTGTTCCAGCGTCCCCCAGTGGGCCTGAGGAAGATTGTGCTCGCCACTAACATCGCTGAGACCTCCATTACAATAGACGACATTGTACACGTGGTGGATGCAGGCACTCACAAAGAACAAAAATATGACCCACAAACAAAAGTAATTTCTCATTTAATGTCGTCTTTTTTGTGTAACACTTTTGGCAATATTTTAGTTGACAGTAGAACTAATCCATTTATTTGGGTTTTTTCAGGTTTCCTGTCTGGACACAGTTTGGATATCACGTTCTAACGTCACACAAAGAAAAGGGAGAGCAGGACGTTGTCAGCCAGGGCATTCCTATCACCTTTTTCCAAGGAAACATCTGGAGTCGTTGACTCACTTCCCTGTCCCTGAGATCCTGCGTACCCCGCTGCAGAATTTAGTTTTGCAGGCAAAAGTCCACAGTCCAAACTGCAAGGTATTTTATGAAAGAAGTTGATTTTTTTTTTTTACATTTTGTCTTATTTAATAAAAATTGGTATCATGTGGTTGCACAGGCTGTGGATTTTTTGTCCCAAGTGTTGGATAGTCCAGAGCGAGAAGCGGTGAGAGATGCTGTCAAATGTCTTCAAGACATAGGTAACCCACTAACTTGTCAAATATGATGCCATCAGTTAACTCATGTTTATAAACATTTTTCCCAACAATATATTTTGTTTTACAATGTCCTGTTTTTACCAGGAGTTTTGGACAGCATGGAGACCCTGACGCCGTTGGGCGAGCGTGTTGCCTGTATGTCATGTGACCCACAGTTGGGCAAAGCCGTGGTTCTGAGTTCTATATTCAGATGTGTTCTGCCAGTGTTGTCTGTAGTCGCCTGTCTCACCAAAGACCCATTCCACAATAGCCTGCAGAACAGGGCCCTTGTCAAGAAGGTGAGATGGGAAAAGAAACGTTTTTAGAATCTAATGTGTACTTTGAGTCTCTAGGAGTGCAGAGATGTTGAAGCTGGATGGGGTGTGAAGTGGCTCGTTTGGATTTAAAGAGACAGCGTCAAAACGAGTTGCTTGAGACACACCTGAGGAAAGGGCTGAAAGAGGGGCTTGTGGAATATGGTGGAATTGACCAAAGCATTGCAATTCCATTTTTAGACTCCAAATAAATTGTTTAAATGTGGAAAAGAAGGATTTAAAAGCATATGTCTACTTTAACTTTTAGGATATTTGAAGCAGTGCTTTTTCTTTTCAACCAGCTCAGGCTTTTTGTATATTTGTGTACCTGGTCAACAAAGCAGTTCCCTCTGACAGTGACAGACCTTTCCACTTTCTGTTTTTAATCAATTTTTCATTTTTAAAGTGTGTTTTTAAATCGTACTGGAGTTTTATTTTTTTAAGGTTAGTCTTCCCTTAAAACTATTTTTTATCATTCAGTCATCTGTACTCCATCTCTTCAGGCCAAGAAGAAACTGAGTGACTCTAGTTACAGCGACTATCTGGTGTTCAGTAGAGCCGTTCTGGGCTGGAGGAGAGTCCAGTGGGAGGGAGAGAGAGAAGACAGAGACGACTATTTGGACGACTACACTCTTTCCAAATCCAGTCTCCGATTTATTAACGGTCTGCTTGATTCTCACGCACAAACACATGTACACATTTAAACATCAGTGATTATTATTTATTACTGGTGTTTGTTTGTTTGTTTGTTTATTTGTTTATTTATTATTTTTGCAGGCCTTATTTCTCAGTTCAGTTACAACCTTCAGGATGCAGGGCTGGTTTCTCAGGCATTTGAATGCCAGCATCACACTTCTCTCTACAATCAGCACAGCAGCCAGGATGAGCTGCTGAAAGCTGTGATGCTAGCTGGACTGTATCCTAACCTTATTAAGGTAAATGGTAGCCTCTTTTAGTGATCGTTTAGCTTTATTATGACCCCYGCATGTGAAACGTAAGYGGGAGTCATATTGTTTTTGTACTTTTTTTTTAGTGATTTATGGTCAACCGTAGCACAAAAACGGCTGTGCCGATCAACATGAAATTTGGCAGGGCTGTAGATGAGTCTGACCTACACTGCTCCAGCCAATGGTTTTACGGTACACCCCATATTTGAGGAGGGGGCTCTTTTCAAAGAGGGGGTGTCTGAACATGCAAAAATGTTTATAACTCAAACTGTTCAACATAGGAGCTTCAGATTTCTTTTGTTCTTTAGGTCTGATCTAGCTTTTTTAGATTTAGCTCTATCCATCAGGCCCACCAATCAGTACCCCCCCCAACCCCCAATTAATCTGAAAAAGGGGTATCTGGACATACAAAAATGGTTATTGCTCAAAAACAATTAAACATAGGAGCTTCAGATTTTTTTATGTTTAGCTCTGATGACGCTCTATCAGTCAGGCCCACCAATCAGTGTGCCCCCCCCCCCCCCCCCCCCCC